AGCCAAACTACAATAAAAAAAACTCCTACAACCAATAGCAAAAACAATCTGATTAAAAAACAGGCAGAGGATCTGAATAGACATTTTTTTTCCAGAGAAGACATACAGATTGCCAACAAGAATGTGAAAAACTGCTCAACATCACTAACAATCAGGGAGATGCACATTAAAACCACAATGAGTTATCAATACCTGTTAGAAAGGCTATCATCAAAGAGATAAGAGATAAGTGTTTGCAAGGATGTGAGGGAAAAGGAACCCTCATGTGCTGTTGGTGGAAAAGTAAATTTCCTATAGTACAGCCACTGTAGTATGGAGATTCCTCAACAATTAGTTCGAAATACAATTATCATATAATCTATCAATTTCATTTCTGGATATTTATCTGAATAAAACAAAATCACTATCTTAAAAAGGTATCTGCCCTCCTACATTCACTGAAGCATTATTTACAATAGCCAAGGTGTGGAAGCAACCTAAGTGTCCATCAACAAATGAATGGGTAAAGAAAATGTAATGCAGGTACACATGGGAGTATTATTTAGGCATAAAATGAAGGACATTCTCCATTTTCAACAATATGGATAGACTTTGGGGACATTATGCTAAATGAAATAAGTAGGGATAGAAAGACAAATACTATATGAACTCACTTATATGTGGAAATTGAGACAAAACAAAACAAAAAAACTGAACTTACAAAGAACAGATTGATGGTTGCCAAAGGTAGGACCTGAGGAGGAGGACAAAATGTATGAAAGTGGTGGAAAGGTATCAACTTCCAGTTATGAGATAAACAAGCCCCAGGGATGTAATGTACCATCGTTACCAATACTGCATTGTGCACTTGAATGTTGTGAAGGGAGTGAATGTTCTCCTCACAAGAAAATAAACTGTAAATATGTGTGGTGATATTAACTAAACTTGTGGTAATCATTTTGTAATAGACTCATATACATATATCAAACCACTATTCTGTATACCTAAATCTAATGCAATGATTATGTCAATTATATCTCAAAAAATATGAAGATTGTAGAAAGCATGTTCTATGAGGAATGTCTAGAGGTACATACGCAGAAGGGAAAATGTAGATGCTGAAATATGGAAGTGAGGATAATTATTCTGAATTGCTCTATGATAGCTTAGAGATATCACTTTTAAGACTGGTATAATAACTGCGTATTTCTCACAGAGCTGTTGTGAGAGCTAAGTAAGTCATTGCATGTTAAACACTTAGAATACTTTCTGGCCTATGAGCAACAGGGATAGATAAAAATGTTATAGATGTCCAGTACAGCATGTTAATTAAGGGATACTATTTAATTCTACTTGACAAATTTAGTCTTTTAATATTATATATCTGTCTGTGGGATTGTTAGTCAGTTTAGCCACTATGGAAAACAGTATGGAGTTTCCCTCCAAAATTTAAAAAACCCAGCAATTCCATTGCTGATTATTTATTCAAAGGAATCAAGAACACTAATTTGAAAAGATATATTCACCCCTATATTCATTACAACATTATTACAATAGCCAAGATATGGAAGCATCATAAATGTCCATCAGTAAATGCATGGATAAAGAAGAGGTAGTACACATACAATGGAATATTACTCATCCATAAAAAACAAATGAAATCTTGCCATTTGTGACAACATAGACTGATGTGGATCCTGGCTGGCAGGTTCTGTGTGTTGTGGTTGCTATGAACAAATACACACGGACTACAGAAGTCCTGTGGAGAAAAGGGATGGCATGGCCACTCTCTAAGGGAGAGTTGCCCTGGCCCCTGCCTGCACATGCTTTTATAGCTTTTCTGCATACATTACATGGAGGATGGTCCTCATTTACTACACATAGGTTCGATGCAGGTGATTACCTTTTACAGATAACAAAGGAAAGAATGTTGCTAATTACTTCAGAGAGAAGGATGTTGCAGACCAAGGGGAAAAGTAGTTAAACCAGTCATACTCCATACTTGGGAGGTTTAGCTCAGATTTTAGGAAGTTACAGTAAGCACTTTGTGCCTCAATTCAGAGTGAGGGAGTTTTAGCAAAAGCAAGTCTTACAGAAGTCTAGGTACAATGCAGGCCTGATCCCCCACGAGAAAACCTCTCCGTGAACATGGTCCTGTGTGCGGACTCACTTCCCACTCATTTTCCTCATGGGGGCTGAGCTACATTTCCATGCCACTTGAAATGGCTCCCTACAATAGATGGACCTAGAAGTCTATGTTAAATGAAATAAGCCAGGCAGAGAAAAACAGTATAATTTCATTTATATATGGAGGAAGGAAGGAAGGAAGGAAGGAAGGAAGGAAGGAAGGAAGGAAGGAAGGAAGGAAGGAAGGAAGGAAGGGAGGAAGGAAGGAAGGAAGGAAACTCATAGACACAGAACAAGTTGGTATTTGCTAGATGGGAGGGGGTTGGGGGGATAGATGAAAAGGTGGAGAAATTAAAGAGTATGGATACAGTTACAAAGCCCTGGCCATGGGGCTCAGTTGGTTGGAGTGTCAGCCTGTACACCAAAATGTTGCAGGTTCAATTCCTGGTCAGGGCACATACTTAAGCTGTGAGTCCAATCCATAGGTGAGGTACGTAAGCGTAAGAGAGGCAACCAACTGATGTCTCTCTCTCTTCCTTCCTCTCTCTAAATATGTTCCCTGGTGAGTATTATTAAAAAGTCACAGTGATGTAAAGTACAACATAGAGGCTACAGGCAATAATATTGTAAAAACTAGATATACTGTCAGATGGTTACTAGACTTATTATGGTAATCACTTCTAAGATATAAAATGTCTAATCAATGCAACTGAAACTAACATAATATTGTATATCAACTATAATTGAAAAATAAAAAGAAATTAAAAGTTGTGTCGTGATGTGAATAAAAAAAACCAAAGAATAAATAGGTGTCAAGGAAGAATTCATATTGGATGTTCTGGAGTACATAGAGGAAGCTTTCTTTTATTTCTTTCTTTATTTTTATTTTTATTTTTTTATTTAGTTATTTTTCGAGTACAGTTTTTTGTCTATTTCTCCCATCCCAGCCCCGCCCCCACCCCATGCTCCCCACCTCCCTCCCATCTCCACCCTCCTTTTTTCTCCTCCCTGTGTACTTCACATTTGTTCCTCCAAATCCCTCCCCCCTTCCCCCTTAAATTCCCTTCCCTCTCCCCTTTGTTTTTATTCTGCTTGCTTGTTTGTTTTGTTATTTAGCTTCCTGAAACTTTTTAAAATAAGATGCAAAGTCCACAAATCAAAAGTGAAGGCACCGTAAAAGATGATTAAAAATGAAAACTGTGTATTTTTTTCAAATTATCCTTTTTTTAAATAATTTTATTTAGTTATTTTTCAAGTAAAGTTTTTGTGTCTATTGAAAACTGTGTCTTGTTAAAACAACTTAATAAGTTGTAATTCAGAGATTCACTGGGCAAAAGGATTGAACCTTACTAACAGATCAGGTATTCAATCCACAATACATAAAGAGAACAACAAATCAGAAAGAAGAAAAAATGTTCCAATCCAACAGAAAACTGTCTTAAATATCAGACATACCACAGAGAAATATCATAGAATGTTCGGTAATAATATGAAAAAAGTAATCAATGTTGCTAACAATCAGAATTAAGAAAAACAATAATAAGTTAATATTTGCCAATCAGAATAGCAAACATTTAGAAATAATATTCAGGAAGTGTAGAGATGTCGTAAAACAACATTCTCAGAACAGAATGACAAGTTTCTATGGTGTGTACAAAAAGATATGTGCAAGGACGATGACCATAGCATAATTTGTAATTGTGAAATTGGAAACAAAGCACACCGTGATAATTAGATCAACGACACAGTTCTGTATTAAAGGCAAGGGAATTTCCAAGATGCCTCATAAAGTGGAAACACACAAGAGAACAGTTTGCATAAAATAATCCTGTAAAAAAAAAACCACTATGTACTTTTGTATATATACTGTTTATTCAGAATTTAACTCTGTGACAGGCATCACTGTTAACTCTTTGTATATTTTAACGTCCTTAAGTCTCATAAAAATCCTATGAGATAGATAGTATTGCTAATCCTCATTTTACAAATTAAAAAAGAGACAGAGTGCAATTTGCACAAAGTCACAGAGATGAGAAGGGATTCATACCAAAGTGGTTTGGTTTCCTCACTCGTTTTTCAGCATCGTTTTCTCAATTTCCTTACCTCCCTGACCCTTCTATTTCCCTTCTTCCCCTTTGCCACCTCCCTGGTCACTCAGTAAATTTTCAAGTGTCTCCTGACAGTGTCATGGGGAGAAAAGTAGGGGTGCAAAAGGTGTGTTTCGCTTTTCTCCATATTCAGCTTTATGGTGTGGAAGAAAGCTTTATGGTATGGTATTCAGCTTTATGAATGAAAACTTTAAAAGAAAAGGGAAATCAACGAATTCAGTTCAGTTCAACAAGCATATATTGTGCTTGGATGCCAGTCGGAGGGAACCTGAAAAATTAAACATTCTTAAACACATAGGATCTGTCTGACACTTAAAAAGAATTAACATCGTCTCCTCAGAGACAGAGACTAAGCCTGAAAGAGAGGAAGAGAGACCGACAGCCAGAGAGCAAAAGTGAAAAGGCTCCATAAAGAAAAACAAGCTTGACCTTCCTTATCTGTGCTCCGAACTGTTCACCGCTCCCAGACCTGAAAGCCCGGAGTCTAAGGAATGGGGGTCAAGGTCCGAGGAAAGAAGTTCTCGCAGTTCAGTGACTTCGACCACACCTCCGAGGCAGCGGGCTCCTAGTTTGTGCCTGTCCCAGTCCCAGCCGGTGCGGACATCTCAGTCCCTTGCTGCCCTTCGGCCGCAAAGGGGATGTTTCTGGAGTTTGTCCAGAAGGCAAGAGGAAGGGCGGGGCACCATCTGCGCACCGCCCCGGGTGTTGGTCTCCCTGCAGCATTCATGCCTCCTGGCAACTGCCGGGACAGCCTGGGAACCCTTTAATGCGCGTAGGATCCCGGAAACGAAACCTGGAGACGCAATTTCGGCGCGGCGGTGGCTCCGAGCCCCCTTCCTGTTGATATCAGGGAACTTTGTGTAACAAGGGGGGCAGGGCCACTCCGGCAACGAGAGGACCCGCGCCGCCATCCGTGCCTGGGATCCCGGTCCTCGTTGGCCCCGTGCTGTCATCGACCAGCAGCAGCCACAGGTGGGCCGCGGCCTTCTCTGACCCCTGCCGTGGGCGCAGGGCTCCGGGGTGGCGAATGACACAGGGGCGCGAGGGCTGCTCTGGGCTTGTGCTGCGGTTGGGGCGGGGGGCGGGATACTGGGATCCTGGGGGCCCAGGGAAGTCCCCGGAAGTGGAGCCGGGGCCTAGAAAGGCAACCGAGTGACCCCGTCGTAGGTACCCAGGAGCAAAGTGCCCATGACTAGGAGATTTCTGCCTGAAACCGCCCCCAGGCTGGACTCCCCTAGTGCATCTCTACACAGTGGCACGGGGATCTGCCAGCCTATTTCGGAAGAAGATGGAGCTATTAATAGAGCCTGCTAGCTGTCCTTTAACTGTAAATCCTAATTAGGGGTATGGCTGGAATTACCCCAGGCTCCCTGGGGCACCAGAATTGGAAACACAGAGGCGGTTTGTGGATTAGAGGTCAAGCCCTTATCTCGGAATCTATCTGTCTCCTCCCTCTGCTACTTAATATCTGGGGACTCTGACCCCCAGCCAGTTTCTTCCTAGACCTTCCTTCCTTACCTCATCTCTGAAATGGTGTGACTATCCAGAGCTACAAGAGTCATACAGTAGGACATGTACTAGTGTAACTCTGTTAGAGTAGGGTCTGGCACTGCCCCAGTACTCTAGTTTTTATTGTTTCTAATATTTGACAAGCCCCCGTTTCTCTGAATCTACTGTCTCGTTCCTGTTTTATTTCTCCATTTAGTCCTGGAGGTCTGGCACGGTCACTTCCCAGTTCCAGGGGACAGGCAGAAAACAGTAGTTTCTCCTGGTTTAGCAAGGTGAGGGATGTGGCTAGTACTGTACAAGTGTCACTTGCTCCGTGTGACCTGTCAGGCGATTTGGGATCCCCTTTTTCTCCCTTGAACAAGTTTCTCTGGATACTGCCCTGGCCAGCATGACAATCGCAGGACTTGGAACGCTGGAGTAAGTAACGCAAAGGCTGTTTGTGAAATGAGTGGACTTGTTCACTTGGGTAGAAAGTGGCATTTGAAATAGCCAGGTTGTGAATTAAGCAGCCTTCAAATCTGTAAGGGATCCATTCTTTCTGACTGAAAGGAATGAAATAATTCTGTACACACATTGTTGAATCAGCAAGCACCAGTTTAAGCGCCTTGCCTGGGACCAGCCATGCTCCAGCCTTTGAGAGTTTAGAGAGCAGCTGGAGAAGAGTCAACGTGTGAGGATGGTCTCCTGTGCGCCTCTCCATCCTCATGTCTAATGATCTCTCCCTCTTGGTCTGTAACCCACAGACCTTTCCTTTCCTTTCCTTGAATGAGAAGAGCTCCCTCAGCCTCAGGACTTCTACCCATGCAGTTACCTCCGTCTGCAGTTACCCCACCCACTCCTCAAACACACTTCTTTGAGCTCTTGGATCTGTCTTCCTTGGACACCCTCTCCCCATCACCTGACCTAGTGCCCCTATAACTCTTCATTACAGCGCCATTAGATTTATGGATAGCACTTCAACTGTTTGTAGTAATATATTGTTAGTTGTCATTTTGCTCTAGTGATTGTTATAGTGTATGCCTTCCATGGATATGCTTTGAAAAGAAGCACAAGCTTTATACTTGTGAATATTTATATAATATTTATATATGTACATACATATTATACAAAGGAGGACCCCCAAAAAGCCAAAATTATCTTCTGGAGGGCATGCCTCTTGTGCAGGCTTCCCCCTCTAGGTGCCTGTTCCAGGAACCCATCCATATACCGGCCAGCGTTGTTGTGGGAGACTTCATTTGACTTTAGTAAATTTGTTGAAGACTCTTTCCATGCCTTTGCCCATTTCATGGAGGGTGATTTATGAGCACACCTGCCCACACGGTGCTGAGTATTCCGCAGTTTTTGACCAAAAAGGCATGATCCCTGTGGCCCACTCTTCATATTGGCCCGAACTTGCCATGAGTGACTTTGTTTTTGTTTCCCTGGATGAAAAGTGTCCCTCCCCAAAGGGAAACATTTTGCAGATGTGTAAGTGAAACCAAAAAAAAAAATGGCAGAAAGTACTAAAAGGCATCAAAATTGATGAATGCAAAAACTGTTTTGAGCAGTGGAAAAAATGTCTCGATAGGTGTATTGCATCAAAAGGAGAGTACTTTGAGGGTGACTTAAGTTTAAACAACAGGTAACAATAAGTGCACAATTTTTAATAAATAAGTTCCGCTTTATGGGGGACCCCTTCATATATAAACCTATGGAAAGAGCACACCAGGGAAGATACAGAGCATTTCCATTGTCACAGAAAATTCTCTCCTGTCACTTTCCATCAGCCCCCTCCTATCCTAGCAACAACCAGACTGTCTGTTCTTATTTCTGTGGCGAATAGACTATTACTCAGCGGAAGGAGCCATGATAAAAGCAGCCATATGGGTGAAAAGATCTCAAAAATATATTGAGTAAAAGAAACCGGACACAAAAGAGCACACACTGATTACATTCCTATAAATAATGATATTTTAAATGCTTTCTATAGCACAACTTTGGCTGACACCATTTGCCAATAGGAGCTGCTAAGCTCCTATGCTGCTAAGCCCCACAGGCTTTAGAGACATGCATGTGGAGGAAATTATTTTAAAAATACAAAACTCAAAATAATGTAACCAAATAGGAAGGAAAAGTAAATATGAACAAATGTGCTCTGTTTTGGGATTTGTTTAGTTTCACTTCTTTGGGTTTCCGTCCAAGAAGGAAATGATCTTTGACCCCATGAAGGAAAGGTAAATATTCTGTGGCTCACCCTCCATATTTGCATACCTTAAAGGTATTCAGGTTGGTTTTGTTTGGGAAGGACACGGGCTCTTAGGGGACTCATTGCTTAAGAGACTCCACCAGTTCCTAATGTGATTCACAGCATTTGTTTATGAATTTCCTCTTTCTGGCACATTCTTTCTTTCTGACTGGCACTGCACTCCCCAGGCTCAAAAAACTAAATGTAAAAATATATATGTTTTTTAATCAAAAATATTTTTAAGTAAAAAATATTTAAGTTAATAATAGTCCCCTCCACACACACACAGAGTGTGTGTTCCTCCTCCAGATATTATTCAGGATTTGTCCTTGAAATGAGGGCCTTTCTGTCAGTGTAGGCAAGTGGAGAATGATGGAAAAGTGCTGTAAAATTGGTTAAAGGCTATAGGATATTTTTTAACTAATCACATTAAAGAAGGCTGTCCTACAAGCAACAGAGGAGAGATAAAAACTTAAGAGTCCAGTATGTTGAGTTGATGAAGGAATACTATTTAATTCTACTGCACATCTTCAGTCTTTTAATTTTAGATATCTGTGAAAGTACTCAGCATATTTACTTTCAATGTATAATCTTTGATACTGGAAATGTGAGTTTGACAAAAGTAACCGTGGCATTTGGTATGTATGACTTTAAGTCTCCTTTTACTTTTTTTATGACAGAAACTAAAACATGAATGTGGCCTATGAAAATGCTTAGCCAACTTTGGTTACATGTGCTTATTTGCTTATTGATCATTTTACTGATTAACTGAAGAAAAGCATACATTTTAATCTTCTTGCTCTTTTTGCCTGATGAGGTCCATAGCAGTTGGTCTCTGACTAGCAAATGAAAACTTATATTTGTATTATTCTAAGAAAATCCAGGAAGTGAAGTCAGTAACTCAAACAATGTTTTTGCTTTATTCCAAGCCAAGTAAACACATTCCGAATTATTCAACCATTGCTGAATTTCTTGAGTATGTAATTAAGAGGTGATTACAATTGGAATGTTCATAAGAGTTTTACTAGATTATGAAATTATATGCCTAAAGTAGGCAATGATAAAAAATTAAGAGAAGTGACATGATTCCCTCTTGGGAACCCCAGATTTTAGTACAGGACAGAGGGATCAGTTGATTTTTATTTACCATTAAGACAACACAGTTAATAGAATGGCAGCCAAGGCTGGAGAGGGCCTGGGAAGGGCAGGGATGGTTTATATTAGTTTGTGGGTACACGATGAAAGAGGTAACAGTTTTTGCTTCACATGTTAATTGTAATTACAGGCATATAGGGATTTAAAGTGGAGAGATAGGGAAAGTAGTGAATGGACGGTCATGGGAAAGACTAGGACGGGATCAAGACATTGGAAGACAGAAGTACTAAGTACAGCTTTTATTTATTTTTATTTTTTATTATTATTCATTATTTTCAGTAGAAATAACCAAACACAAAATTTAAGTTGGATTCGTTATGCTACTACAACTATGGCATCCCCTGAGAGTGGATGGATTTTCTGGCTAAAAGCATGTCTTTAAAAATTTTTTTAATTTAATCTTTATTGTATTTTTTTTCATTACCATTTAGTCCCCTTACATCCCCTGCCCCCAGCAATCACCACGCTGTTGTCCATGCATGTTTTAAAGCATAGAACAAAGGGTCAGACCTTTCAGGTTTTCCATTTAAGCTGGCAGAAAACGTCCATAGGACTGGAAATTTCCAGAGATATTTACAGTAGTGTAACCTGATAGCTAACCTTTCTCCTTCTCATGTTGGACCATGCCTGGAGCCCAGCCGTGAGCTGTCCACTAACTGGGCTGACTTACAACATCTGAAGTCGGACTCAGACACATAGCAATGGGAATCGACCAACCAAAGGGTTTAAACGATCAGATTCTGGTAAACTAGATGAATGGAGGAATATCTTACTTGCATGTATAGTTTCAGAGTATCGTGTTTTAGCGGTCATATTTGACCTCTAAAAGTATAACCTATATATTAATATCAGGTCTTCTTTTTCAGAACTCTTTAAATCATGGACAAACAAAGTAAGTAAATTAAGTGTTGACTTTTCTCCTTAAGTGTTAAATCTGTTGTTAATATATTTCTTATCGTGTATTTTATTCAGTTTCTGAAAGGGTATGGTTTGCTTTGTGTGATTTATGCTCTAGTTCAGTGTGTTCATATATATATGCAGATAGTCACTACCACTAGTGTTTCCTTTAAAAATATTTTTAAAAAGCCTTAGATGAACCTAAGAAATTTTAGGCTTACTGGAAAACACATTGTATAATTTATTTATATTTCATCCAGATCAGTTTCTCCTTTTTCATGTGTATTTCATGCACATTGAATATTCAAATCATATTAACATATAAATTCAATTTGTCAGTTTATTGTCATAAAATCCTCACATAAATCTCTAATACACACACATAAATATATATATATATATATATTTCATAACATACACACGTGAATAGTTTTAAATAAATACCAAACATTATGTTCTAGCTTTTTTTCTTTCAAGAAAATTTTAAATAAGTTGAGTATTGACAAGCATCTAATAAGACTTTGTCTGATTAAAAATCTAAAGCAATCCATATGGGGGAAAATATAAAAAATAAAATTTTGTGTTCTGAAAGGTTTTATCATCTTTCTTTACATTTGTTTAGATAGCCAAAGATGTTTGTGTCTCACCACAGTGTCACTCTTGCTACCTATAGTGTCATTTATTAGGACCAGACACCTTTGCTCTTCTTTAGGAAGTTTCATGATTTTCTGTTTATGTTTTCTGTAATAATTTAATCTTATTTGCAAAATTCAAAGCTTTTTAAATGTAAATGTTTATAATATTAAATTATTTTGTTTGCTTTAAACTTTGGGATGCTTCAAATCACTTCATAAAGATTCTTTGGCCACAGTCATTGTCACTTTTTTTTTCTTTTCTTTTTTTTTTAATTAATTAAAATTTTACACTTGGAAAAAGGACTTTGCCTCAACTCAGCACTGATACCCACTGGGTGTTAAATTTATAAAATAACGTGAAGTCAGCTGTAATGATTAGGAGTCAATGGTAGGAGTTTCTATTTTGTTAAAGTATGTTTTTTTTTAATTGGGTTTATTTGGGTGACATTGGTTCACAAAACCATGCATTCAAGTGTACAGCTCATTGAAGCCTCATCCGCACACTGCATCCTGTGCCCGTTGCCCGAAGCAAAGTCTCTTTCCGTCCCCATTCTCCCCAACTTTGCCCACCTCCACCTGTCACCTATCCCCCTGTCCCTCTGACCATCACCACGCCATTTCTGTGTCTATGTATTATATATATTTTACGGGGTTTTTTGTTTAATTACTTAACCTTCTTTCATTTAGCCCTCCAATCCTGACAGCTCAGTCTGTTCCATGTGTCTATATTTCTATTTCTGTTTTGTTTGTCACTTTATTTTGTTCATTTGACTCTGCCAGTCGTTACCTTTTAACTTTTCAATTTCATATAGGTAAATTGTATATGTTTGCATAAATAGAAATGAAATGTAAATATGTATACTTTATATATATACATATATAAATATACAATTTAAATATACACATATATAATTTAAATGCCTTTAAACAATATACTCTTATGATTTTATAAGTTACTTTAAGTTGCATTTCTGAAATCCATTCGTGATTCATATGCTCTTTGCTCTACCTGGTTCAGCTGGCACAGGAATACAATTAAAGCTTATCAGTCTTTGTCAGCTGTAAGGATCAAACAATACATAACATTCAGAAAACCACAAAAGCTTATTCTGAGCTAAAGGGCCATAAAACTTTGGGAAACAAACTCATTCTATGCTTGGACCCTTACCAGAAAATTGAGGGCATTCTTCACAAAGCAGGTTTTACAGGATTTTATACATTCTTTCTTAGGCCCAATTGCCCCAGGGAACCGCCCATTCCTGCCCAGGGCTGCACTACCCTCTGTCATTGTTTCAGGCTTAAGTCAGGCAGGGGAAGTAAAGTAGCCAAGAGATTCGAACTTCTTGGAGACAGAATGAGGACTCGGGCTATGTCAGAGCTGATGGGTGAGGGTCCATCACCCCCTTTTTCTAGAGTCCCCCAAGTCCTTCCCTGAGGGCCCCATTGAGACCATGCCTGTCTCAGGTCATCCCTCCCTTGAGGAATCTTACCCACCATTGACTAACCAGTCATCCGCCCGGAGCCAAGCAGGTGAAGTAAAGAGGGCAGAGGCCGAGCCCCTGCCGGAAGATAACTTTGTCTCCTTAGTGGCTTATGGTCCCCTGGTCTTTTACTCAGCCTTAGCCCTGGGGGGTATCAGCTTCTGAAACCAGGCAGGGCAGTTCCCAACAGTCTTTCTGTCAGACTTGTAGTGGATTTCCTGGAGATCGACTGAGTCAGATCCTGTCATCTCCAACTCAGGCTGAGAGTGGGGGCTGTGAGCAAAGCCTTAAGAGAAACAGAAGGGAATGGTTAGAAGGAAGGGCTTGTGGTATTTCAGTTGGGGAATGTTGCAGTATCTGCCTCCATCGCCTTGCTGGAGGTGGAGGATGCTCTGTTGCCTGGATTTGTAGTCTCCATGGACTTCATTCTGCAGAACTTTCTAGGAAGCCACCTGAATGGAGGAGAGAGGGGGCCCGAATCCAGCCTTCCTGCTGAAACCACATGGGTGGAGTGGTTTTAAAAGGCACATGAAAGGGACACCTACCAGAAATGTGTCAGATTGAAAGTCCGGTCAAAATTTCCATGTGACATGTCCCCATGATTCAAAAAGAAACTTGAATTTATAGTTAGTAAGTCATGGGAAAGAGAGGAGGGCATAAGTGTAGTGTGCACTTGACCACAAGTTCCACGAAGGCAGAGCCAGTGCAGCCCCTGAGCCTAACTCGGGTGAGACAGGAGTGCTCCGTAAATGTTTATTGTCGGGTTGGGGTGGCTGTTGAGTGAATAATTGGAGAAACACAAAAATGAAGAACTAGGATGTTGAACCATTTGTGCATATTTTGAGGTTATTTAAGGCAGATAACATTTAATGTTATTATAATTAAGTCAGTTATGATATTTGTAGGTCAAAGTCAGTCAAATATTAGAATTTACTTTGGTCAACCTCATTAGGGTAATTCCAGAAAAAGCTTTAAAATATATATATATATATTTTAGAGATATTTAAATACAGCTATAAATGCATTATTTTAAGTGTTTAGTTGGGGGCTTATGGGGTGGGGGGATCTAGCAAAAAAGAAAAAGGACTCATGGACAACAGTGCGGTGATCAGGGCAGAGAGGGGTGGGGGGAGAGGGTATAAGGAGGATAAATGGTAATGAAAAAAATAAAAAATACATTGAAAAATGTAAAAATAAGAAATTCCTATAGCAATAATTATAGATATCTTTAAAATCATCCATAATCCTTTCATTCCCATACACACATCTACCTAGTTTTATTTGTCTTTTCACACTCTATATGTGTTTTTAAACCACTTTTTTTCTAATACCAACAAAAATGAAAGTATGGAAGTGAACATTCACCAGGCATAGTCGAAAACTAGAAGTTCAACCCCAGTAACTCAACCTGTCTTATTTCATCCAAAAGAGAGCTTGTTTGAGACAGGATTCTAGAGCAAAAGGGTTCTGGTAACAGGCACAGCTTTTGCCAAGTGGAGAATTCACTCTCTCTATTTCAATACAGCATAAGATCATACAAATGACGTTATATGTAGATACTGTATTTTTCTTTCTAATAAGTATTTCATTAAAGCACATATATGTTTGCCTCTCCTTGAATTACAGACGTGCAAATGAATGCTCCTCACCCAGGAAAAAATTTCCCAGTTGCATATCCTCAATATCCTCCGGCAGCATTCCAAGGTAAAAAAATTTTCAAGGTGTAACACCAGGGTAAATCAATCATTGATATTCCCAAAAAGCCAGGTGTGTGTGTGTTTCTGTCTGTCTGTACATTTCTTATAGTATTGCACTTTGTTGAAGGAACAATAATGAAGTTGCCAGCCTAATTTTGATTGTTCGTGGTTGACCATACGTTATCATAAATATCATTAAAGTAAGTTTTATTTATGCAGGGTAGTAAAGGTATAGAGTTAGTAAAAATAGTAGTGAGTTTACATTTAGCAGGTGAAATATAAAGCTGCATATAACTTAAACCCCAAAATAAACAAGTAAAATATTATATTGGTTCTCCATCTCTTCAGAAAATTGTGGTCCTGTAATCACATTTAGAAGATGTAATCCTGAGTGTTGTTGAGTCATGCCTAGCTCAGGTTAATTGTTCAGTGGGAGTCACAGAAAAGACATGACTGCTTTAATAAAACAAAGCTGCAAGCAGTAGAAACGTAGTTACCTGGGCATAATTCTCATTTTCACTCTGTAACGTGTAAAAGCTTTCCTTTTGTTTACAGGCTGAATTACGCCTTGCTTTGAGTAGGCAGGCTACCCACATCTTGAGAGACCGTGTGGAGGGGACTTTTGATTTCAGGTTTGAAGAGAAGGGTGTATGCATTTTGTATTCTATTCTGAACAATCTGCTGAGGAGCTGAATGGTCTGTTTAATTGTCTAACCGGAAATCTCCCAGTGGGGCCCGGGTGTCATCAGATGTTTGCAATTAAAATAATGTGTGCTAGAAAATATTCAAGGCTCTAAGGTAATTGTTAAAGAGTAAATGTTTTAAGTGTTCCATGAGAGCTCTTAAAAACACTAGTGTGAGAGCACAATCCCAGAAAAAAACTAAAGCAGAAGTCAGGGAGTGGGACTCAGGGACTGGTAACATTTTAATTACCCAGGTTAGTCTAACTGGCAGCTAGAGCTTCAAACCACTTTTCTAAATTCTTATGTGGTTGGTGTTCAGACACTTATTAGCAAGTCTGTAATACTCATCTAAGGCACTTGGAGAATGATTTAATCCACCTACAGCTAATTAAAAGTACATGATACATAATTAAATTGGTTATCATCAGACTTGAGAGTTTGTTGGCAAAAATAGCTCCAACAAGTTTATTGTTCAAGTTTTATTGAACAATTTTATTGTTCAAGTTCAAGGCCACATATAGTACAGGTTTTAATGTAAGGACACTGATAGCTTAATATTGAGGACTTACTCTGCCTAATGTGGATGAACTCATTTAATTCTTAGGTACCTTTATGAGATAAATACATTAGTTATTCCTATTATCCAAGTGGGAACATAGGTATAGAGAGGCTTGTTCAGACTTCAAGTTCTGGTCTCTGTAATTAATAGTTATTGTTGGTTTTAAACAAATTACTGTACCTCCAAGCCTTAGTGCTTTAAAAAAAAATTTTTATTGTATTTTTTCTATTACATTCATACACCCCTCCCCCTGCAGTCACCACTCTGTTGTCCATGTCTGTGAGTCCTTTTTCCTTTCTAGTTGATCCTGCCATCACCTAACCCTCTCACCCCCCACCTGTCATCCTGCGCACTATCTATGAGTCAGTCTCTATTTTGCTTGTTAGTTCAGTAGATTCTACATATGAGTGAAGTCATATGGTATTTGTCCTTCTCTGACTAGATTTCACTTAGCATAATGTTCCGTAGGTCCACCCATGCTGTCGCACTGCAAAAAGTAAAATATTTTTCTTTTTTTACAGCCGAGTAGTACTCTGTTGTGTAAGTGTCCCATAGCTCTGTTACCACTCATCTACTGATAGACACTTGTGCTGTTTCCATGTCTTGGTGATTATAAAAGAACACTGCAAAGAATATAGGGTTGCTTATGTGTTTTTGAATTAGTGTTTGGGGTTTCTTTAGATATATTCCCAAAAGTGGGATCGCTGGGTGAAAAGATCCATTTTTAATGATCTGAGGTATCTCTATACTGCTTTCTAAGGTGGCTGCCCCAGTCTGTATCCCAACCAACAATGTAAAAGGGCTCCCCTTTCTCCACATCCCTGCCAGCACTTTTTGTTTGTTGATTTATTGATGATGGCCATTCTGACAGATTGGAGATGATATCTCATTGTGATTTTAATTTGTATTTCTCTGGTGATTGGTGACATTGAGCATCTTGTCAAATGTCTACTGGCCATCTGTATGTCCTCTTTGGAGAAGTGTATATTCAGTTCCTTGGCCTATTTTTTAATTGGATTGTTTCTTTTTTCTGTTGTTGAGTTTTGTAAGCTCTTAATAGATTTTTGGATGTTAACCCCTTATCAGCTATGTCAGTGAATATGTTCTCCCATTCTGTGGGTTGTCTTTTTATTTTGTTGATGGTCTCCCTTGCTGTGTAAAACTTTTTAGTTCATCGTAGTCCCATTTTTGTTTATTATTTCTTCTGTTTCCCTTGCCCGTGGAGATATATCTGATAAAATATTGCTATGAGTAATGTTCAGGATTTTGCTGCCTATGTTTTTTTCTAAGGTTTTTATGGTTGCAGGTCTAATAGTTGTCTTTAATCCATTTTGAATCTATTCTTTTGTGTGCTTTAAAAAGGTGGCCTAGTTTTGTTTTTCTGCACATATCTACAATTTTCCCAATACCATTTATTGAATAAACTATCTTTAGCCCATTGTATTGTGCTTACTTCTTCTGTTGAATATTAATTGGCTATAAAGGCGTGGGTTTATTTCTGGGCTTTCTGTTTTGTTTCAGTGATGTATGTAAATGTTTTTATGCCAATACCATGCTGTTTTGATTATTATAGCTTTATACAGTTAGATATTAGGCAGCATGATTTCTCCAACTTTGTTCTTTCTTAGAATCACTGTTGGCTTTTGGGGATCCGTATAAATTTTTGAAATATTTGTTTTAGTTCTGCAAAACATGTCACCAGAATCTTGATAGGATTTGTGTTGAATCTATATATTGCTTTGGATAGATAGCATGGTTATTTTAATCCATGAGCACAGTATGTGCTTCCACTCATTTGTATCATCTTCAGTTTCTTTCTTCACTTTCTTAATAATTTTCCAAGTGCAGACCTTTTACATCCTTGGTTATGCTTATTCCTAGGTATTTTATTCTTTTTGTACCAATTGTGAATGGTACTGTGTTCTTCATTTCCCTTCCTATCAGTTTGTTATTGGCATATATAAATGCAACTGATTTATGCATATTTATTTTGTATCCTGTTACTTTATTAAAGTTATTTATCAATTCTAGTAGTTTGGGTGGGAAATTTAGGGTTATCTTTATATAGTATCGTATCATTTGCAAATAAGGAGAGTTTTTACTTCTTCCTTTCCAATTTGGATGCCTTTTATTTATTCTTCTTGTGTGATTGCTGTAGCTTGGGCTTCCACACCATGTTGAATAAGAGGTGAGAGTGGACATCCCTGCCGTGTTCCCAATCATAAGGGGAACACCCGTAGTTTGGTCCCATTGAGAATGATGCCGCCAGTGGGTTTGTTATGTTTAGGTGTGCCCCCTCTATTCCCACGTTTCTAAGAATTTTTATCATTAATGAATGCTGGATTTTATCAAATGCTTTTCCTGCATCTGTTGATTTGATCATGTGGTTTTTATCCTTCATTTTGATTACATGGTGAATCACATTTATTGCTTTGTAAGTGTTGACCCAAACTTACATTCCCAGAGTAAACCCCACTTGATCATGGTGTATGATCTTTTTGATGTATTGCTGTACTTGGTTTGCTAATATTTTGTTGAGGGTTTTAACATCTCTTCATCAGAGATATTGGCCTACAATTTTTTTTATAGAGTCTATATCTGATTCTGGAATTAGTATAATAATGCTGGCCTAATAAAATAAGCTTGGGAGCCTTCTTCCCTCCTCTTGAAATTTTTGAAATAGTTTGAGGAAAGATGTTAGTTCTCCTTGGAATGTTTGGTAAAATTCCCCTGTGAAGCCATGCAGTCCAGGACTTTTGTTTGTTGGGTTTTTTTTTTTATTACTGCTTCAGTTTCATTAAGTGTAATCTGTATTCAGATTCTCTGATTGTTCCTGATTTAGTTTTGGAATTTACCCATTTTGGCCAGGTTGTCCAGTTTGTTGATATATAACTGTTCATAATATTTTCTTATGACCATTTGTATTTCTTTGGTATCAATTGTTATTTTTCCTTTTTCATTTCCAATTCTATTTATTTGAGTCCTCTTTGTTTTTTGATGAATCTGGTTAAATGTTTGTCAGTCTTGTTTAATTTTTGAAAGAACCAGCTCTTGGATTCATTGATTTTTATATCATTGTTTAGACTCTATTTTATTTTTTCTCTGATCTTTATTATGTCCTTCTTTTACTCACTTTGAGATTTTTTGGTTGTCCTTTTTCAAGTTCCTTTAAGTGTAAAGTTAGATTGTTCATTTGAGCTTTTTCGGGGGAGGGGGCTTTTTTTTTTTTTATTATTAAGCCTGTAATGCTAGAAATTTCACACTCAGGATTGCTTTCCCTGTGTCCCACAGATTTTGAATTGTTGTGTTTTCATTCTCATTTGTTTCAAGGTATCTTTTAATCTCTTCCTTGATCTCATTGGTGACCCATTCATTTTTTAATAACATGTTATTTAGTTTCCATGTCTTTGTCAGTGTTCTTCTTGTTATTGATTTCTAGTTTCATTGCACTGTGGTCAGAGAAGATGCTTGATATGATTTCAATCTGCTTAAATTTATTGGGACTTCTTTTTTGTCCTAACATGTGGTCTATCCTAGAAAACATTCCATGTGCACCTGAAAAGTATGTATTTTCTGCTGGTTTTGAGTGAAATGTTCTGAAGATATCAATTAAATCCATTTGATCTAGTGTGTCATTTAAGACTGCTGTCTCCTTGTTGATTTTCTGTCTGGAAAATCTGTCCATTAAATTCAATGGTGTAATATCACCTACTATGACTGTATTTCTGTCAGTCTCTCCATTTATGTTCATCATGATTTGCTTTCCATATTTAGGTGCTCCTATGTTGTATAAATGTTTACTAGGGTTATTGCTAGTAAACATATCCTCTCTTTGGATTGTTCCCTCTATCATTATGTAGTGTCCTTTTTCATCTCTTGTAGCCTCATTTTTAAAGTCTATTTAGTTAGATATAAGTATTGCTCCCCTGGCTTTTTTTTCCTTTCCATTTGCATGAAATATCTTTTTCCATCTCTTTATTTTTAGTCTGTGTGTATCTTTCAACCTGAGATGGGTCTTGCTTCCTTACCCATTCAGCTATCTTGTATCTTTTGGTTGGAGCATTTACATTTGAAATTATTATTGATGATATATATGTATTTAATGCCATTTTATTGTTAGTCTATTTTTCTCTATTTTTTACATTTTCTCTTGCTTTTTCTTTTTCTTCTTAAAGCAAGCCCTTTAACATTTATTGCAGTACTGATTTGGTGTTGACAAGCTCCTTTAGCTTTTTCTTGTCTGGGAAGCTTCTTATTTCTCCTTCCATTTTATAAGATAGCCTTGCTGGGTCAAGTAACCTCAGTTGTCAGTCCTTGCATTTCATCACCATAAATATTTCATGGCAGTCCCTTCTGGCCTGAAACATTTCTCTTGAGAAATCGGATGACAGTGTAGTTGGTGCTCCCTTGTAGATAATTGCCTGCTTTGTTCTTGTGGCTGTTAGGATTCTCTCCTCATCTTTAAGTTTTGCGATTTTAATTATGACATGTCTTGGTGTAGGCCTCTTTGGGTCCATCTTGTTTGGGTCTCACTGTGCTTCTTGGGCTTGTTATTTTCCGTTAACAGATTAGGGATGTTTTCCATTATTTCTTGGTATGGTTCTTGATACCTTGCTTACTTTCTTTCCCTTACTGGTATTCCCATGAAATGGGTGTTGTTATGCTTCATGTTGTCCCAAAGGTTTCTTATGCTCTCTTCATATTTTTTTTTTATTCCTTTTCTTTTGCTGCCCTGATTGGGTGTTCTTATCTACTGTGTCTTCCAAATCGCTGATCTGATTACCTGCTTCATCTGACCTACTGTTTATTCTTTCTAGTGTATTATTTATTTCAGATATTGCACTCTTTATTTTTGATTGGTCCTTTTCTATTGTTTCTATGTCTTTTTTCATGCTGTTTATTATAGTTATAATCACTACTTTAAACTCTCTATCCAATAAGTTGTTGCCTCCATTTCATCTATATTTTCTTCTGGAGAGAGTTCTTTTGTTTTTTTTCATTAGGGTCCTGTTTATTTGTCTTTCCATTTTGGCTGCTTCTTTGTATTTGCTTGTATGTATTAGGTAGACTGCACAGGACAAGGTCTGGCCTATGTCAGACACTTCCTGTGACTAGCCCTGTGCAACCTATTTGGAGCTAACAGCAATCCGCAGCTTGTGGCTCCCTCTGCTGGGCCTGTTTTTGTGCAGAAAAAACCGGACTGTGCACCAAGGCTGCCTTTTACCAGCACAGGGGCCAGGAGAATGTCAACTAAAGTCAGAGCTCCCAGAGATCTGCCTTTGTCTGAAGTCTTTCTTTTAGGCTTTGTCTCTGAAATAGCCTCCATCTGTACTCTTCAGCAGGCAGCTAAAGCTCCAAAGGGTAGGGCAAGAGTGATTCCTGTGGGTGGGGCTGTTGCTTCTCCCTAGGCTCATGCCACTGGGAGGGGAGTGCTTTGCCTGAGAAACACGGCTTCTGAGGAGTGCGGAGTGACTCAGCACAGGGATACTACAATTCTCTCCCCAGAGCCACCAGCCCCAGCCCTCTTCACGTGTCTCTAGTCCACTCTGCTCTCCCTCTGCTGGAATCCAGGGTAAGGGGCTACAAACACTATTTTGTGTTCTGGTCCTTTAAGAGGCCCTCTGCATCTCTATCTCTCCCTGGTGGAGAGGAAGCCTGCTGCTCTTCGCAGCCGAATGTTATTTGGGGTCCATTCCCAGTTCAGGTGCTGTGTTGTAACTGTTCAAGGCCTGACAGGTTCGTAGTATTCGGGCAGATGGAAGAATATTAACAGAGCTGTGGGGGTGCTTGAAATGAATTTATTAAAGGGTGGGTCAGCCATGCACACTGCCAGCTGTGTGTCTGTGTGGCACATGCCATATCCCTTGCTCCCAAGTGTAACACCCAGCAAGGAGCCCCTAGCCCCTCTTAAAATATTAGGACAAACAAAGCCAGCTTTAAGCCAGAAAATTACATAACATAACATAATTCTGTATCTGCAGGCCCACCTTATGTAATGGGAACCATTTATTGGACCCAGTCTCAATGCTATGAGAACACTACTTACCAGACCCATTCATGGTATGGGGAACACTGTTTCCCTTTGTTACCCAGACACCTGGGTGAAGAAGCCAAACTGCCTCCACTGACTGTACAGGTGCTCTAGGCTGGGGAGCCCAGCTTGGGATTCAAACCCCATACCTCCCAGGGGGAACCTAGCCACTGAAATATACCACTGGAGTTTCAGCTGCCACCCATGGGCAGCCAGCCAGCCCCCTCGTGCCTCCACACGAGAAGAGAAGTATACACTTCTGAAATTCATATGGAGTATACAGTATATACAGCATACACTGTGCTTATTAAGTGCTTAAGATAGTGTTTCATGATAACTTTTTACCTACCCTGTTTCAAATTGTGTTTCCAGATAGCTGAGGGTGCTAAATTATGAAATTTAAATCTGTAATCTTAGGTTATTGTAGATTTTTTTCATGTAGAGGTTCTTATGAATGGAATATAGTGGACTCAAACTTTAGCAAAATTATTAACCTAGAAAATTATGTGGAAGGAATGCCAGGCCTTTACCTCTATACCGGGTTTTTCAACAGCAGCACTGTAATATTTGGGAGTGGATACTTCTTTTTCTTCAGGATGCTGTTCGGGGCACTTCAGGATTTTTAGCAGCATTCGGGGCCTCTGTCCACCAGATGTCAGTATCACCCTCCTCTCTTGTTATAACAGCTAAAAACATCTCCAGACCTGATCAAATATGTCTTGAAGGGGCAAAGCCATCCCTGGTTCTGGACATATAGGAGATACTGTTTGTTGGAATTTCAAAATTACCATTTATTACAGAGTGCTTTGGTCCTAGAAATCCTGGCCTTCAACTTGAACAATAAAATGGAGCTATTTTTTCCAACAAACTCTCAAGTCTGATAGTCTGATAACTAATCCCAAACCTTTATTTTTGGCCTGCTACTCAGTGTCCTCTCTTTATCATGAAAGCATTCCAGAGTACTTATACAAGTGACTCTAGATCATGGTTGACTTTCCTTCACTTTCTTAGGTTTTAAGCATCCTGTCATCTGAGTTTTGAATGGTAAGAGTAAGGCCTGGACCAACTCGATTCCACCCAAAAGTCTCAAAATAGTAGTGTATGTGAAACCACAGATATTTAATTGAAAATTAGCTAAAAGGTAAAAATATGAATTTTGTGCTTCATAGATACAGGACTTCTGATCTGAAATTACTGGGGTAATCCCAAAGAGTTGACACTTCCATTCTTCAGTGAAATTACAAATTATTTTACTTGTTCGTATTTCAGGACCTCCAAGACATACTGGCTACCCAGACCCTCAGGCCCCCTACCCTGGGACGGTGGCAGGCTATCCCGGCCCCCAGGTTGTCCATCCTGGAACTCAGGCAGGCTATCCCGGCCCCTATGCTGACTACTCAGTCCCACCACATGGCTATTCAGGTGCTGGTCCGGTGGGCTTTCCTGTTCAACACCAGCCAGTGTACAGTCAGCAAGGTGGACCTGCAGGGACACCGTGGATGCCAGCACCAGCACCTCCATCAAACTGCCCACCAGGGTTGGAATATTTAACTCAGGTAATCTCAAATGCATTAAACAGCCATAAAAATAAAACTGTGCTCCAGTTTACTTATGGACAAAGGACTAATTCGCAAAGTCTGAAATGTAAAACAACATTTTTTTTTTTTTGCTAACAAAATTACTCCAATTGTTCTAAGTCAGGTTTATTTAAAGCAAACTACAAATGTTTTAGGAAATTTCATTTTCGATGATGTGGAATATAATCTGTGGTAATAGCCAATAGCACACATTTATTGAGCATCGTTTTCCAGGTTTTGTTCTTATGAATTATACAAGTATTAATTCATTTGATCTTTTCAAAAACTCCTTGATATATAGGTGCTATAATTATCACCAGTTTACAGAAGAAGAGACTGTGTTCCAGAGAAGTTACATAAAATGCTCAGTGTCAAAATGCCAGGGGAGTGGGAATGGCTATTTACTTGTGAAAACTTAGCCCTGTATCCAAGGACTCAAATCCCAACACAGAATAATTTCCTAGAAGTAGGAGATAAACAACAAAGAAAGTTTAGTGTTGAGTTTCAGTAAGTGGTACCAAGAAAAAGAATTAATACTTCGTATGTAATATGACTCACTTTCCTTAATTTGCCCACATTGATAGTGAACATATTCAATAGGTATTTTTAATTAAAAATATGTTAACTTTGATTATACCCATAAGTAATGTAAACTATCATTAAATATTTATAATACTGGTAAGTATTGTTCATTAATTATATATTCTTTAAAATATAAAGACACTAATGTTAATTCAGTTGTCATAAAAACATGATATATAATTTACATCTTAACTTTTTTTGCTATAATAGGTAGATCAGATACTAATTCATCAGCAAGTCGAGCTTCTAGAAGGTATGTATTGACTATATTTCCATAAGAGAAGATGTCTGTGCACATAAAGATGTCGTCAACCACAGATATACACTTTCACTGGTGTGGAATGATTAAGCCTGGTTATTCACAAATGTCTTTCATCCTGATAATGAAATGATGATGATAGTCGGCAGCTCATTTCTGGAAGTTAGGAGTCGAGTAGTTAAATACTATTACTCCGGGCGTCTGTCCTCATGATTCAGGCCCTAATTTAGGAGGAAACCAGCCAAAGTGTACAGTCCCCTTACTGTTGCTTCCCCTTCTCTCTAGAAAGCATACAGTGATTTATCACTTTCCCTGACTTCTGTCACTTAAGCTCTTTTCTCCCCAGGATGTGATAACCTTGAGGTTGGCACAGACCACGTGCAATAGTGCAGTTACTTAGTACCTTTCCAAAGTGCATAAATTTTTTTAAATTTAGATGGCTCTGTTTTAGAAAATCACATTCCCGTTTGCAGTTTCTCTTGGGAGTTCAGATGACCCCTGTAAAACCTTTTTGCCGTGGGCTGAGGATTATCACTTTGGATGTGGGAGAATGGGGACCCACAGGCCCAGAGGTCTGGCTTCCTCAAACACCCCTGGGTCCAGTGCACCTCACACGGAAGATAACCTTAGGAAGTTGCTAGATGTTTCAGAACTCCAGCCAATAACATTCGTGAGCCGTGAATGGAGAACCATTCTTCTGCATACAGAGTTTAATGAAAACTCTACTAGTTTTTAGAATATATCTATTAAATCCTTCTTCACCACTCTGTAAAGTCTCCTTCCACAGACAGAAATTATAATATGAATTACACTAGTTGGTAATAGATTAGGTTAGAACACACAATTATTATCTATTGTATTTTGATTACTTACAATGTACATTGTTAGATATTTATACCGTTCTTATTACTATTAGCTTGTTTAAACTAAGCCTAAACTGGAAAGGAGCTCTTTGTTGTTAGATAATTTGTATTCTGAATTTTTTTTAAATGTTTTATTCTAGAGAATTTATTTTTAAGATTATAAGTCTCCCCCAATACATTATACAGTACTCCATTTATAGTTTTAAGTTTATATGTTTTTAAAAAATACTTGTATTAATCATGAAATATAAGTCTGTATTTGAACATTATGAATAATAAAACAAGATGCATATTACTCAGCTTATTTTTGGAATCTGAGACTATGGCAGCCACATTTTCCAATCAAAACTTAAGAGACAATAAAAATATAGCAGTAGATTTTATTTGTTTTTATTTTCTTTTTAAGTAACTGGAAGGAAATTTAGAGATCGTGTTATATAATCCCATTGATTTCATTTTATAGATAAATAGGCTGAAGATTTATGAGATTAAGTTCCTTAATGAAACACTGAGATAATAGGGCTTGTATGAGTCAGAACAAAGACTTAGGGGAGATCATGGTGCTAGAGTTTGTTCAGGATGTCTCTATCTCAGTCATAGAGATACTATAGAGTACACCATCCACACAGATATTAGAGAGTTCTCATCTCTAATGAAACTTTTTCATAAGATACCACCGGGTGGGTATCAGTAGTGAGCATATCTCTTTTCCCAGGTGAAGAGATTAGCCTCCTCTAAGGTACAGAATTCACTCAGGATGACAGAGGCTGAGATACTCTGTGAGTTGGGGCCTTGGTTGCCAAGCACCTCCCCCGCCATCTGTTACCACCTCCCACCTTTGAACAACTACTGCTGCATTAAACAAGGACACTCTTGGCCCAGTGTGATGTTCTAGCCAACCTTCCACTTTCACCATCTCCCTTTTTACACGTATGCAAGGGAAGTAAACACCTTTGTTACCTTCCCTCATTCAGTGCAAAAAGATAAGCCATGAATGTATTATGAAACAAAATCTCAAGCCAATTTATTTAATGCACTATGTTTATTTAATATAGCATAAACATGGCAATCATCCTCTATTCCCCTCCCTGATTGAATAACTGAAAACAGCACCATGCAAATGGACATGACATTGTATACTTCCAGCACAGCTGTGACCATCTGCATCATGGCCCATTGCTCAGCAGCAAAGTTGCTTTTTCTGACATGAGTCTGTGAAATTAGGAAGATAAGCATTTTCTTCTCCATGTCTTACAGAGGAACTCTCAATTTTATGTACCTTTACACGTTCTCCTACTTCTCTTCCTTTGCTTTTTTCCTCTGTCTAGGTTACCTCTAAACTCCTTTCCATTCGGTTCTCCTTATGTGACATGTAGTGTCACCTAAAAATGGTATAACTAGGTGTTATGGTATCTTAGGATAGATTCAGTATTCTTTTAACATAATGGTCATAGTGATTCCCTTTTATGGTTTTAGTCTTAACAGGTTTTGAAACAAATAATAAATATGAAATTAAGAACAGCCTTGGACAGAGGATTTACTTTGCTGTGGAAGATACTGATTGCTGTACTCGAAATTGCTGTGGGTCTGATAGGCCTTTTACTATGAGAATTCTTGATCTTATGGGCCAAGAGGTCATAACTCTGGAGAGACCACTAAGATGTTCCAGCTGCTGTTGCCCGTGCTGCCTTCAGGAGGTCTGTGAGCATTACCCGCCCCGAGTAATTTGTAAAGTAGTTCAACAAGAATTTTCGCCCTGTCATTGAACCTATATAATCAAATGAGATTTTATAAAAATTGGTCCATGAGCTATTGTTTTGTGCTTGAGAGTAATTTGGACAGGAAGGAGGGCAGGTGAAAAACAGTGACCAGTTAGCCCCATGTCCCTGAGAAGTTTGTCTTGTGGGATTGAGCATCTGCTCAGAGACCAGACTTCCTCATCTTTGAGGAGAGCTGAGAAGACAAGGCCCCTTGGTCAGGTCCCTTACTGGGAGTGACCAGCAGAGAGGCCTGGCCAAAGCCAGGGGAGGGAGCCACAGGCAGTGTCCTGGAGTACAGTTCCAGGAGCAAGTGTACAGAAGAATGAGGACAAGAACATACAGTCATCTCATAATTTTGGCCAACATATTATGGAACAAACCTAGGAGAGACTACCTCTGAGCAAGCTCAACTCCTGTGTTTTTAAGATCCCCATTTTTAAAAAGGAATGTGTTTGAGCCTCTGTCGTAGAGATACGCTAGGTATGGGTACCTTCAGGTCTGGAAAGACCAGATGTCTCTTTCATATCACTTGTCATCCCACTGATTTACAACATGGATCTCAGGGGAGACACCAGGGCACAGAGAGTTTGTAGAAAGGTTGCCTTGGCCTATATCCCCCGGCCTGAGACCAGGCCTTGCCTGGCCAGTCATTCCAGACAAGTAGCTCTGAGTCCATGACACAGACAGAGGCACAAGCACATAGACATTTGAGGTTTCATACTGCATTTACTTTAAACAGTTAACTGAAGCTATTCCTACTGAATACTATTGTTTCTTATGTCATTTGGGTTAGATATAGTAGTACTTATCCATAGGAATGTCTGAGAAAACAGAGTTGGAGGAAATATGCTGTAAATGTAAAAAGCACAGTAGCACACATTAAGAAAACAGTCGAGGAAGGCATCATTTACAAATGACTCTACTGTACTCTCTAGGTCACCCAGCTAACAGCAGAGCCAAGATCCTCTCCATTTTTCTTATAGAACCATTGCCACTCATACTGGAAAATTGCACCAGTGATCAGAGCTCTATTCACCTGCCCGAACCATTATTTTTAGAGGATTTTGAAAAAAGAGCTCCTTCATAACTTAGCCATGTTTCATAAGTATAAACTTAAAAATGCACACCAGCAGAGCAGTGCTTAAGAGTGGAGTCCGTGTGTGCCGCCTGCCTGCATTTGTGTCTCACCTCTTCCATTTGTAGCAGGGGAACCTCATGCAAGTTAATGAAGCTCTCTGTTATTCAGACACTTCCTTTCTAAATAGGAATAATTGTACCATCCTGTCTAGATGTGTTGTAAATCAAGTGGTATTCAGCACACTCTCTGACACTTGGAAAGTATTCAATACATGAGAGTTGTTATTAGACATTGTTATTATTACAATTTATATATGTCCTTTTGCTTTTGCAGATAGAAATCCATGCTCCTCCTGGTGTACCAGTGGGTTATGTGTCTCAGAATTGGCACCCATGCTTGCCAAAGTTTACAATTCAAAATGAGAGGAGAGAGGATGTACTGAAGATTACTGGTCCATGTGTTGTGTGCAGCTGTTGTGCAGATATTGATTTTGAGGTAAGAGATGTGATAATGCTTATGGGGTTTGCTTCCCTAATATAATAATAACATAAATTGGGAGGGTGTTAGAAATATGTTTATTAAATATGTGTATCCTAATATCTCCAGAGGGAGACAGTGCACTTATACATTTAACTTTGGTCAGAAAGGTCGTTACTAATCTCAGTGAGCTTCACTGTTGATTGTACTAATGGAAAAAAGTGAAGCAGAGCCTTATACTCAATAAAGATAAGCAAAACAATAACATTTAAATGTGGTGGTTTCTGTGCAGAAGTGCTATATATTATGCATTTTAAATACAACATATAGACCTCTGGCCAAGATGGAGGCATAGGTAGACACACTGCCTCCTCACACAACCAAAATAAGGACAACAACAATTTAGACACAAAATAACAACCAGAACTGACAGAAGTTGAACTGTATGGAAGTCAGCCAACCATGGAGTTAAAATAGACACATTCATCCAGACTAGTAGGAGGGATGGAGTCGGGCAGCCGGACAGAGAGGGGTTGGGGCACAAAAAGCAGTGGCACTGGGTGCTCCTAAGCATGCAAGATGGCAGTAGGTGGACCCCAGGTGTGCAGGGGGTGGCTGCAGACCCTGGGTGTGGGGTAGCAATGGGCAGACCCAGTGAGGCGGCAATTGTGAAGCAAGGCACTGTGCGCAAGGTGGATGGCTGACCGGGTGGTCCCACATTCACGAGGAGATAAACCAGGTGAAACTGGGGAGCGAGACAGATCTCACAACCCAGGGTCCCAGTGCTAGGAAATAAAGCCTCAAAACACTGATTGAAAACACCTGTGGGGTTGAGGCACTGGAAGAGACTCCCAGCCTCATAGGAGAGTTTGTTGGAGAGACCTACAGGGTCCTAGAATGGACACAAGCCCACCCACACGGGAATCAGCACCAGAAAGGCTCAGTTTGCTTGGAGGAAGCGGCAGAGAGGACTGAAATCTGACAGAAAGTGGAGCAAGTGCCATTGTTCCCTCTCAGACCCTGCCCCACGGTACAGCGTCACAACCCAGCAACTGGGTTGCCCCGCCCTGGTGAACACTTAAGGCTCCGCCCCTCATACATAACAGGCACGACCTGATCAAAAATGGCTCAGTCAGGAGAACAAATCAAACCCCCAGAGCCAATACTTTTAAGCCACCAAGAGATAACCAACCTATCAGATGCACAGTTCAAAGGACTGGTGATCAGGATGCTCACAGAATTGGTTGATTTTGGTCACAAATTAGACAAAAAAATGAAGGCTATGCTAAATAAAATGAAGGAAAATGCACAGGGAACCAATAGTGATGGGAAGAAAACTGGGACTCAAATCAATGGAGTGGACCAGAAGGAAGAAAGAAACATTCAACCAGAATAGAATGAAGAAACAAGAATTCAAAAAAATGAGCAGAGGCTTAGGAACCTCCAGGACATCTTTAAACGTTGCAACGCCCAAATTATAGGGGTATCAGAAGGGGAAGAGGAACAGCCACAAGTGGAAAAGTTATTTGAAGAAATAATAAAGAAGAACTTCTCCAACCTGGCAAAGGAAATAGACTTCCAGGAAGTCCAGGAAGCTCAGAGAGTCCCAAAGAAGTTGGACCCAAGGAGGAACACACCAAGACATATCATAATTACATTATCTAAGATTAAAATGAAGGAGAGAATCCTAGAGGTAGCCAGAGATAAGGAGACAATTAACCTACAAAGGAGTTCCCATCAGACTGTCAGCTGATTTCTCAAAAGAGACCTTGCAGGCAGGAAGGGACTGAAAAGAGGTATTCCAAGCCATGAAAGGCAAGGACCTACATCTAAGATTGCGCTATCCAGCAAAACTTTCATTTAGAATGTAAGGGCAGATAAAGTGTTTCTCAGATAAAGTCGAGTTAAAGGAACTAATCATCACCAAGCCCTTATTATATAAAATGTTAAAGGGACTTATCGAAGAAAAACAAGGTTAAAAAACATGTATAGTAAAATGACAGTAAACTCACAATTATTAATAACCACACCTAAAACAAAAGCAGACTAAGCAAACAATTAGAACAGGAACAGAACCACAGAAATGGAGATCACATGGAGGGTTAGCAATAGAGGAGTGGGAGGAGGAAAAAGGGAGAAAAGGTACAGAGACGATAGGTAGAAAATAGACGGGGAGGGCAAGAATAGTATGGGAAATGTAAAAGCTAAAAAACTTGTGACACATGGACATGAACTAAAGTGGGGGAATTTGGGTGGGAGAGGGTGTGCAGGGTGGGTGGAGGGGAATGAAGGGGAAAAATGGGACAAATGTAATAGCATAATCAATAAAATATATTTTTTAAAAATAAAGAAATAATCTTTTAAAAAAAGAAAAAAAAATACAACATTTACCTTGTCATCGATGTCTGACTACCAAAGCCTGTGAATCAGTGCCCTCAGCCCTCTTCAGAAGGTCTGACGTCTTTGAGTTCCCACAGAAAGCCCATGAGGCAAAGAGAGTTTTCAGAAAGATACTGTGCCACCCAGTTATGCTTCTCTATGGTCTCTGCTTTATCTTTGTATTAAGTTGATTGTTAGAAACCAAAATATTTCTGTGTATTTACTACATGGATCAGTTTCATTACAGCAGTTTTCAAACAGATGGCCTAGCCTTATAGTTCACATTATTTAATTGCAAATATTAAACATCAAGAGATTTTATAACTTAATCTTGATTTTCACATTCTACTAGAAAAGCTGAAAATGTGGTAAATGGGGCCTACATTTCTATAAAAGGGGCAGAAACGAGGCTGAACTTAAGTAGTGCTGCCCCATTGTAGTAAATATGTGGGAACTCTGCCAGTTTCCTGTGGCTTCCTGAGGTTTTCCACTATCCACTGCATTCTTTTATAGTATTTATCTGGTAATATGATATCAAATCACTGTTAGACCCTGGTTATATAAAAATGAATCCTTCTCCATAATGAGCTCAAAGTCTAATGAGGGAGACAAGAAATTCTAAGAAAACACAGATGATGTAATAGAGACTTTATAACTAGACTCCCAAAAAGGGATATATTGTGTTGGCCAAAACGTCCATTTCATTTTTTCCACAAAATATGAGGTCTGTCCAGAAAAGTCTAGCCATCGGTAATATAACAAGAACGGTTTGTGCGACATTGACGTAACCTCAATCCAAGGAGAGTAGACTGTAATGCACATGCATCAACAATGATGACTTCACTGTGCTAGTCAGCGGGGGGCAACAGACAGCATTGAGTGAGCATGTGTACTGTGTGGCCATCACATTAAAAATGACTGAGTGAGTAAAGCAACAAATTTGCATCAGATTTTGCATTAAACTTGAATATTCCTCCATGGAAACTATTTTAGATGATTAAGAAGGCTTTCAGGACTGTGTAGTGAGTCCAGCACAAATAAAAGTGTGGCACAAATGCTTCAAAGATTGTCAAGAATGTTGAAAGTGATCCATATTCTGATAGGCCTACAACAAACAGAACACCTGGGAATGTTGAACATGTACAGGATGCAATCAACAAAGGTCAGTGACTGACAATGTAAAAACTGGAAACTGATCTGGGAATTCCAAAAATAGTACTACTGTGTCCAAGATTTTGATGCAGGATCTTGGCATGAAATGTGCCATAGCAAAATATGTTCCTGGGCTTCTGCTACCAGAGCAGAAGGAAAATTGTACTGCAGTTGTGAGATGAATTGTGGCTCCACCTCTATGATCTGGAAGTGAAAGCTCAGTCATCCCAATGGAAGTCGCCTGGTGCTCCATGCCCCAAAAAGGCACAGCAAAGTTGCAGCAAGATCAAGACCACATTAACTGTGTTTCTTGATTGGGAAGGTATTGTACATCACAAGTGCGCCCCTCCAGGCCAAACCATTAATAAGGAATACTACATCAATGTTCTTTATTGGTTGAGAGGTGCAATGTGATGAAAATGGCCATAGCTATGGGCAACTGGTGATTGGCAGCTTCATTACCACAACATGCCCTCGTGTATCATGTCTCATGCAGTTTTTTGGTGAAATATCAAATCACCCAGGTGACTCAGCCTCCATACAGCCTGTATTTGGCATACTGCGATTCTGGCTTTTCCCAAAACGAAAATCACCTTTGAAAGTGAAGAGATTTCAGACTGTCAGTGAGATTCAGGAAAATATGAGGGAGTAGCTGATGGTGATTCCAACAAAAGACTTTGCAGAATGTTTTGAACAGTGGATGAGATGCTGGGAGAACCGTATGAGGTCCTAAGGTGCCACCTACTTTGAAAGGAACTGAGCTATCATTGTCCTATGTACAAAGTTTCTTGTATCTTGCATCTCCTTCAGCAAAGGTCTCTATTTTTAGTGTTACATGGCTGAATACTTTCTGGACAGACACCTTTTCATTTTTTTTTTTTTTCATTTTCACCAATAACTTTATCGATTCGGATATTTTGAGTACTTTGGCTGTCTCCCACCATTGAATTCTAGTGGGTGGAGGCCAGAGGTGCTGCTCTATATCTTCTGATGCATAAGACAGTCCCATAGCAAAGAATTTTTTCGCTAAAATGTCAGTAGTACCAAGAGATGTCGTTAACCACTTTTGACACATTCAGTCAGTCACAGTACCTTTTCCGCACATTGCACAAACCTTTTTTTGTGTTTCAGTTGCATTTTTACCTTTCTTGAAATAATAAAGCATAATACACTGAAAATGTGTATTTTCCTCCATCTTCAGTATTAAAATGGCTAAACAAAAATTCACCAATTTTGATGTTTCTTTTAATGCATGCCGATATGACAGCTATCACAATACAATCTAACAACATTGTTTCAAATGAAGTTAAAGACAACTAAGAACTACTAGAGGCATTGTATGGTAAAAACCAAACAAACTTCTTGGCCAGTCCAATAGGTTATAAGGTGGTATTTGTACTACATGTGTAAAGACTATAGATTTGTGTATAATAATAGTTCTCTATGTAGGGGTTGTTATTGTTTTCAAAGATCCAGATGAGTAAAAAGGTAATCGTTCTTTCAGGGAGTATCAGAGAAGTATGGCTAGCATATATTTTATTTGTGGAAAGTACTGGTGAAGCAACTCAGATTGTATTTAATGCTAACAAATTTAGAAAAAATCTAGAAATCCTTCTCAGTTGATACCTTAGAGTATATAGTATAGATCATAAATTAACTTTGCTCTTGTGTATCTTGAATAGTGCGAATAAGGGAATTTAGGGAATTGCAAAAACAGTTCCTTAAAATATTTTCTGAAAGCTATCTGACGGGAAGTTGAAATGCAGAAATTATTAACATGAGGAAATATAGTAGAACATGAATTGCATTTGACTATCAGTGGGCTTGGGAATTTGGTATATGTAAAACACAGCAAGAGCGGAAGTCATTCTATTGCAAGAATTATTCAAGAGACATTTAATAAGTATACTAAGTGGAACTGATTCATGGATTTGATGTCAGTTGAGGATAAAAGAAAATTGGGGGATTGTTCTGTTGTCTGAGGTTTAAGAAGCCGAGTGAATAATGTTAAGATTCTTGGAGCTGTACCAGTTCATTTTAATTGAGTTGTAATGGATTTTAGGTGTGTACAAGGACAGTTGAGAGGTTTCTACATACTGCACGAGTACATAATGCTCTAGGAATTAATCCATCAAGAACAAATTTCATGTAATAGAAAAATCTGCGATCTATCAAGTAAGAAATAATCAGATAAACATTGGGCAAAACAAGAAGCGTAACTAATATTAAAGGAAAGGAGGATTTGAAAACAAGCCAAATAGTATAAGGAAGAAGAGTCATTAAACCTCTTTGGAAAGAGTGCTACAATTAGATACAGATGAAGATAAAGTCACTGAAATGGATGATCCATTAGGAAAATAAATAAGGAAAATATATATTTGAAAGGATTACAAAAATTGAGGAGATGAGGAAGCTACAATAAACCACTCTTGCATATGCCAAAAAAGAATACAGAAAAAGAGAAGATGGAGGATTTCTGAATATTCAAATGGATAAATGGCTAAGAATGTTTCAAATACCTTTATCAATTATTTTAAAATAATTAAAATTTAATTGATAGCAATATAATACCAGTTTATTTTTTCAGACGTTGAAATTATTTTGTTTTCATTTCTTTGTTTTTAAAATATTAACTAGAGATTAGCTAAAAAATATTTAGTTTCATTGACTTTTCAGCTATAGATAATTTTTCACATTTCTGAACCTATCCATAGAAAATTATGGTCTACTTCATACATCAGTTTTGGTGAACTTTTAGATTTCTTGCCAAAGGAATCAAAAAGGGTAAATGTTAAATCTAGTGATAGGATAATAGTGGCTGACAAGTTATCTTTTGTATATTTTATTGCAAAATATTTCAAAAATACCAAATTGAAAAAATTAAAATATAAGGTTTTATTGCTAGCTACAAGTGCTTGGATGACAGCTATTAGCAGATAAAACAATGAAGTGTCAAAAGAGAGAATTTGTACCACTCTGTTTCCCCACAATAGTGTTGCATGACATAAAACATCTAGAGCTCAGTAGTTTAAACAACAAGCATTTTCTGTCATGCTCATGGGTCAACTGTTTCTCAGTGGATATTCATAGGCTCAGCTGGTGGCTCTGATTTAGGCTAGAAGTTGGCCCCAGCCCTGCTCCAGGTATGCTCATTCTAGAGCTGCAGCAAGAACAACTACCTGGATCATCATTTTCTAGTGGCTGATCACTGGAGAGCAAGAGCCAGGCCAGACCACTCAGCCATGTTTAAGGTCTCTGCTCATTGTCATGTATACTAACTTTCCACTGTTCAAACAAGTCCCATGGACCACCCTAATTATCAGTGTACAGGGAGGCATACTGGGCCTACCATGGGAGGGTGAATGAATATTGATGAACAGTAATCCACACTATCACAGTTTTCAGATGAAAAGTTTATTTCAGGTTTGTTAATAACCACCCACAAAGGGTTAAAAGGAGTAAACAGTGTTGAATTTCTCCACATTTATGTAGCAGCTCCCCACCTGAGCTAGGGCTTCACAGGGTGTTGCCGGCACATGTGCTGCCTTGTGTACACTTAGAAAAGACACTTCTCTTCCTGGTGTTGGCACAACCCTACGTGTACACAACATGGTGAGTGTGGCTACCTGCAGCCCCACATGCCCAGTAGGTGAGGTTCATTTGTCCAGCTACGATCTTTTCCACTCTTTATGATGGCCCTGGAGTCTCCTCAGGCAGAATTGTGAAATTAGAGAAATTTTACTTTAGAGCTTTTTTGTATCCACCCTTCTCTTTTGTTGTTCCTCCACGTTCCTGTCAATCACCCGTATCCCAACCCTGGACCACAGGCATCCCATCAAGTTACTTATGGGAAACTTGCCCTCACTCAAAAGTGCCAGTCCTCTTCCCCAGGCCCTTAGCATTTCTGGTTGCCGACTGACAGAGAGTGTTCATGTCCGTCTCATCAGCCCATGTAAACTCTGTGGGTGTCTTAACACAGATGTGTCTGTCACATGGGGTTTAGTTTGCTAGCCTTCTGATGGCTGATAGGAATTTCATCAGAGAAACATTTCGTGTTTGTGTCTTTTCATGCTTAAATTTTGTTTTAGGTCAGTTCAAATGCTTTATTACCATCTCTCTGGATGTGCAAAATGTTAAATATTTCAATGAATCTGTCTTCATATATTTCTCTGTAGCAAAGAAATCTTTATGTATATGTAAATAAGTACAGGAATTTATATGCATCTAATGAGAGATACAATGTTCATAGTTAAGTATTTGTATTGCACATGTTTAATAGTATATTTACTTCATTTTATTCTAACTTTGAAAGCAGATTTATTACTTTCTATTATTCTTTAATACTGATATTTTTTTCAACTTAGATTAAATCTCTTGATGAAGAAAATGTGGTTGGCAAGATTTCCAAGCAGTGGACTGGTTTTGTGAGAGAGGCATTTACAGATGCTGATAACTTTGGGATCCAGTTCCCCTTAGACCTTGATGTGAAAATGAAAGCTGTCATGATTGGCGCGTGTTTCCTCATTGTAAGTCTATTCTTGCTAATCGTGGGTATTTCTTTGGTGTCATTCTGTAAAGATTCAGTAAATTGTATATTTTAATGCCTGCTTAAATTTATAGCTTTTATTCAAAGGGTCCCATTCAATCCTAGCTCTGAAATTGCACTTTCTCCTGATAGTCTGGATTCACAGGTGACCAGTTTCTTGGGAAATTCTGCTTGGTTTCACATGGCAGTAAAAGGACCTTGTGTGTTAGAGAGAGGCCCTGGTCTTTGGGGCTTCTATTTAAAAATTCAAACAGGTGCTTCAGGTAAGACTTCAAACATGAGCTACATGGAGCACAGCTCAGTGGAACAGGGAGATGTCATTCCATTAGAAGTTATTCCATTAGACCTTCTACTGCAGGAGTGTGAGCTGCAGTGAGAGTGTGCATGCAATCAAGCCACCAGATGGAACTGGCAGTTGAAAGGAAACATAGAGGATAGACAGTGATTCTGAACTTGTCTCCCATTATATCACTCAGGGAGAGTTCAAAAGCTCCAACTACTAAATCATACCCAAATTCAACTGACTCAGAGGTTTGTAAAGGTCCCCAGGTGATGCAGTATGCAGCCAAAATCAAGGACTCCTGGGAGAGAGCAACAGTTCTCCACCTTAATTGCACACTAGAAACAGCTTGGGTAGCCTTTCAAACCCCCTATGTCAAAACTGCACCCAGATACTGAATCAAAATCTCTGGAGATGGGACCAAGCCTGCAAACTGTTTAGATCACTCCCAAGTGACTCCAGTGTGCAAGCAAGGTTTAGAACCACAAATGAATAACTTAGATATTTATTTGGGGGTACCCTGAGAACAAAACTAAAAGATGAGCAATATTTGCAGCAAATGGACCCAGTTCCTTTAACAAATAAATTTCAAAAAATAAAAATATAATAAAATGAGATACTTAAATGATATCAACTTAATGCAGTGTATAAATTCTGTATACTGAATTAAACCAATATAAAAAGACATTTATAGGCATTCACAGAAATTTCAACATTGTCTGGCTCTTTGATGATTGACTTACTTTTTTTTTAATAGTAGGACATTTATAACTCTAATGTTATATTGGGATTTTAAGTATATTTTATTGATTATGCTATTACAGTTGTCCCATTTTTTTTCTCCCTTTTATCCCCCTCCACTCTGCACCCACGTCTGTCCAGTATTGCCCCTGCCCCTTAGTTCATGTCCATGGTGTACAAGTAAGTTCTTTAGCTTCCCCATTTCATATGCTATTCTTAACCTCCCCCTGTCTATTTCGTGCCTACCAATTATGCTCCTTATTCCCTGTACCTTTTCTCCCCATTCTTCTCCACCCCTTTCCCACTGATAACCCTCCATGTGATCTCCATCTCTGTGATTCTCTTCCTGTTCTAGTTGTTTGCTTAGTCTTTGTTTTTGTTTTTAGGTTCAATTGTTGATAGTTGAGTTTTTTGTTATTTTACTGTTCATATTTTTTATCTTCTTTTTCTTAGATAAGTCCTTTTAACATTTCATATAATAAGGACTTGGTGATGATGAACTCCTTTAACTTTACCTTATCTGAGAAGCACTTTATCTGCCCTTCCATTCTAAATGATAGCTTTGCTGGATAGAGTAATCTTGGATGTAGGTCCTTGCCTTTCATGGCTTTGAATACTTCTTTCCAGCCCCTTCTTGCCTGTAAGGTTTCTTTTGAGAAATCAGTTTATATTCCTATGGTAACTCCTTTGTAGGTAACTTTCTCTTTATCTTTAATCTTGGCTAATTTAATTATGTTGTGTCTCGGAGTGTTTCGTCTTGGGTCCAACTTCTTTGGAACTCTTTGAGCATTCTGAACTTGCACGTCTAGTTCCTTCACTAGATTTGGGAAGTTTTCCTTCATTATTTTTTCAAATAAGTTTTCAATTTTTGTTCAACCTTTTCTTCTGGCACCCCTATGATTTAGATGTTGGAATGTTTAAACTTATCCCAGAGGTTCCTCAGCTTCTTCTCATTTTTTTGAATTCTTGTTTCTTCATACCATTCTAGTTGTATTTTTTTCTTCCTTTTATTCAAAATCATTGATTTGAGTCCCACTTTTCTTCACTTCACTGTTGTTTCCCTATATATTTTTCTTTATTTCACTTTGCACATCCTTCACTTTTCCTCTATTTTGTAACCATACAATCAGTTTTGTGAGCATCCTGAGTACCAGTGTTTTGAACTCTGTATCTAATAGGTTGTCTATCTCCTCATTGCTTAGTCCTATTCCTGGAGGTTTGATGTATTCTTTCATTTGGGTCATATTTCTTCATCTTAGTGCACCTGTCATGTTGTAAGGGGTGGAGCCTTAGGTATTTGCCTGGGCCATGCAACCCACTTTGCTGTGTTGTGGCACTGTATGTGGGGAAGGGTTCCAAGAGGGAACAATGCCACCTACTCGGTTCCCACACTGCTTTTAGTCACTTCCCCCGTTTCCCCCAAGCAAATTGGGCCTTTCTAGTACTGATTCCATGGTGGGTGGGCTTGTGTACATTCTAGGATCCTGTGGCTTCTTCACTGTACTCTCCTGTGAGACTAGGAGTTTCTCCTACCACTGCAACTCCCACAGGTTTTTACAGCCAGAGGTTTTGAGGCTTTCTTTCCTGGAGCTGGAGCCCTGGGTTGTGTGGCTTGTCTCATTCCCCAGTTGTTCCGCCAGGCTTATCTGCATGAATGTGGAATATCCTGGTCCACCAGCTGCCACCTGGCCTACCCTAGCCTCCCAGCTGCCACTTTGTTGCATGTCCTCTCTACCCCAGCTGCCTGTCTCCACCCTTCCCATCTGTCTAAATGTTTCTTCTTTAACTCTTTGGTTGTTGGACTTCCATACAGCTTGACTTTCTGGCAGTTTTGGTTGGTTTTGTTTTTAAATTGGTTGTTATTCTTCTTTTGGTTGTGCAAGGGAGCAAAGTGTATCTACCTATGCCTCCATCTTTGACTTACTGGTTCTTAAGGTGTAATGGTTATAATGGTTATATAAAAATAAAACAGTAACAGAGTCACTATTTTTAGGGTCACATACTGAAGTATTTCAATATAAAATGGTATATCACAGGTTTGCATTTAAATAATGGGGGGTGAGGCCTGGGAATCTAGAAAACAGAGGAATTGATGAACTAAGATTGGTCATATTAATGATTATTGAATCTGGGTGAGTAGTTATTGGGACTTCATTATGCTATTCTATCTAATTTGGGATAGGCTCAATATTTTCTATATACATTTTTAAAGAAAATCATAATTCTGCTTCAAAGTGGTATTTTCAGTAACCATTTATGTCACATAAAAAGAAAATTTAACCTTACCCTTAGGGAATTGTTTAGCCAAAGATATGGTGCATACCGGGAAGATAAGGCAGTCTGAGATGTTTGGATAGATGGGACATGGGATTGGGGGCAGTGGTGGGATTATTAGTAAAGAGCTGTGGAATAGATTGGGCTTCTGCTAAAGGACTTTTAAGGACTGGGCAATGAAAATGATTTAGTTCACTGGTTATTTTTAAACAAAGTATAAATAAAATAGTTATAAATCCAAATTTTAGAAAGATAAATCCTGATGACTGTGTGAGAGATGGATTGAAGAGAGATGGAGTGGCAATAGTACAATTGCACAAGATTTGAAATAAGGATAAAACTATTTCTGTTGATAGGATAAAGGAAAATGACAGATGTGAGAGATAAAATCCATAGGATTTGACTTTAAGTCATGGAGGGGAGGGTCTAGTTAGACACTGAGGAAGTCAGGCAAGTTAGGGACCACAGTAGATAAGTTTGGAAGAGAATTCATATAACTGAGCCAAACAGTTCCAAGTGGTATTCTAACTCTAAATGGCTTTCATTCCCCTGGAAAAAAGAAAAACTTGTAAGTTGTACATGGTATTGCAGTCATATTACTAGAGAAGGAATATAAAAATTTTAGGAAGGAAGGATCAAAAAAGAACATTTGAAGGGACCAGAGAAAAAGTGAAATTTAGAGAAATTACCCAAAGACTATTTAAATGTATACAGTTATTAATAAGTGAATAGAATTATAGGATTCAATTGCTATTATAATGAAAAGCTGAAACTATTGACTTTTCCCAGATCTACTTATGAGATTCAGTTTTCTTGTTTAGTAGATACATTATTCTGTTTCATCATATTCCTTAGCATATATGCATCTGAGAATTGTTCTCTGTTTTGATATTGAAAATTAATTTCTGTATTTTGTTTTTACTTAGGACTTCATGTTTTTTGAAAGGAGTGGAGGCCAAGAACAGAGAGCAGGAGTGTGGTAGTGGATGAATAAAGTCTTCTCAGAAAGTATGAAGTCTAAATCCTGACTGGGATTGTGTACAACTAAAATTCAGTGGGCTTTCTTTTTCTTTATTGAAATGACTTATAATTTGTGAATTACACATGATACCTGAAGCTCCAGGTATATGATTTTACTTTTCAAATTATAGAGCTTATTTTCTGTATCACTTAATTATAAATGTTTTTATACCTTTTATTTTATATATTTTGTATTATTCTGTGTTTCTGAGAAAGGGCATTAGAATTTTTACATTTAAACATGAAACTGCCTTTGATAAATTGCTTTATTTTCAATTTTATAGCAAAATTAATTAAAATGATTTCAATATAAAATTACAAATTATTTTATTAAATTTAGTTAACATTTATTTTATATGTAATGACTGTTATTTTGCAAATATTTCATATTCAAAAAGGTTAAAAATCAACACAACTTCAATTTCCTTTACAATTATGTTCAAATGATACTCAAGTTCTTATTACCAAGGAAAAGTAAGAAATGTGTTTGTTTTCATTCAGCAATTAAACCACATTTAACTTTTTATGTAAACTAATTTGTTACTATGATTTTCATATTGACAATTACCAATTCTTAATGGATTTCAGTGGAAAAGATATGATTCTGTCCCAAAGAAAGACACTTTATTTAAAGACTCACTCTAAAATTTTTGTTATAATTTTTGAGATAATTTGTTACACGTGAAATGTTTCATACCTAATTTTGTCATTCCTAGAGCATGGCAGTTATAAGATCACTCAGGTATTTATTAAATAAAACATATATATTTCACCAGAGTATGAACTTCACTAATAGACTCGTGAGTTATATATGCCAACAATCAAGTAACTAAAATAAAAAATTGTTGATATATATATATTTGCATATTTTTTTAAACTGAACAATTCATTCATATGGTGTTCTGAACCTTATACATTTAACACCTGCCTTCCTTTTCAAAAGAGCAAAAGCATTTGATAATCGTTAGTAAAATCCATACCAGTGCTGGAAACTAGGATTTCTATCTGTTAGAAACCTAAGGGAATTTTTTATATTCTGTTTTATAGGAAAATTTGGATTGAATGGGTAGAGAGGTCCAAACCGTAACTCAATTCATGCAAAGGAAAAATGGTTAGGACATAGGGGGTTTGGCGAGGGACTTGGTTTCACCTTCAGCAAAATTCCACCAAAACCACTAGCTCCTAATGTTGAGAACATTTGAATGTCAGGGGAGCTACAGGGAAAGCTAAGTCTAGACCATTTTTATTAGTCAAATAGTTCACCGGATGCCAGATTACAATGTTGAGAAGTAACCATGGCTCTCACATTCAGTTCATTCAGTTTATAGTTGGTACAGACGGCATGCCAGATAAAGCGAGGTACCTGCATAGCTGGACCCCAGTGGCCTTAGTTATACCAGTTAGAAAAGAGGAGGGCTTTCCAGGCTAGCTATCGGGTACCGCAGCCAACCTCAAATGAGGCTAGAGGTACTGATAATTTTCTCGGTGACGGTTACATCCTTCATTCTCCATCTTTCTCACCGCCTCCTTCTTCCTCTACCCCCTCCTACACACAAAATTCAGGATCTCTGGTTTAGCAAAGTAAGATTACAACTGATTTGAACAGTTCCTTTCTTCTTCAATATACAAGGAAGATTTGTGCAGAAACCATAGACCATCTGCGAAATCCATTTAAGTTCAAATACTAGGAAAACTTAGCATTTACTAAGAGAAAAGTCATTACAAATGAAAAATTAGAATTTAAATGATAAAAACACCAGGAATTAAAACAAATGGCTTTATTTGTAATCTCAGTGAGATCTGGAGGAATGTTGCCTATATCTGAAACAAGATATAGAGAAAAAGGAACATTCTGATAAGGCAGAAGCCCTGGAATTTAAAAACACGATATTCACTGTGGGACTGGGGGTTGTAAAATATTTTTAAATAGAAGCTACTGGATCACTGTTTCCTGCCCTTATGCAGCAGAAGATCTACAGTCAGGAAGCAAAACCCCAAGCAGTACCTTCTGCAAGCAGTGGAAACCTTGGGCATCTACTTTGACTACTGCCAAAGGATGTTGTGAACTGCAGGTTTTGTTCCCCAAATTCTACATGTTAAAGTCTTAAGCCCTAACGTGATGATATGGAGATGGGGCCTTTGGAAGGTATTTTGATTTAGGTGAAGTTGTGAGGGTGGGGCATGATGATGAGCTAAGAACCCCTATGAGAAGTGGAAGTGGAAATCAAGAACTAGTTTTCTCTGCCAAGAGAGGATCAGTGAGAAGGTTGCTGTTTTCTGAAAGCCTGAAAGAGGGTCCTTTTCAGGAGCCAAATCAGCTGACACCTTGATTTTGAACTTCCGAGTCTTTAGAATAGTAGGAAGAACATGTGTTGTTTACTTCACCCAGTCTGTGAGTTTTGTTATTGCCGCACAAGGTGAAGAAAATGGATGATGTTAAGACCAGAAATAAATTTCAAGGTCCATCAAGAAGAAAAAGCTAGTAGAACATCTCCACTAAAACCCGGGCTCATAAAAAGTTATCACCTCATAAAATAAAAAAGAAGTAAACTCCACCATTCAGATGGGAAGAGCACTGAAAAACTTGCTCCTGTCGCTGTGTTGCTGGATGAGAGAGCCTATCTATGTCTGTCTCTATGGGTCTGAACATACAAGTTTCCCCTGCTATCCAAAAGTAGAGCGTTCCTATGAAATCTTCCATAAGCCAAATGGTGTAAAGCAGACAAGTGATTACCTTAGATGCAATTTGGTAACAGATGAACAAAATAAATGGAGCTGAAACACAGAGGCTCACAGACACAATTCAAAGCAATGGCAGCTTGACCCTGAGATGCCGAGCGTGGTTTCTAGGAAGAAACGTGGTGTCTCTCTTGCCGCTCCGGGTGCACGGCGCCTCTGCATCGGTGCTGCAGAACAAACACGATGCTGTTTTCGCTTCTTGCCTTTCTTTGCATTGGCGAAAATCCTCTTGGGATTTCTTTTGGTTAGTGAAAGCAGCTACAAATACAGGTCTTTCATAAAAATGAAGTGGTGAAAAAAACTTTCAAAAAGCAGGGAATACCTATATATACATATGGATATATGAATATACATAAATTAAGCATTAATTTCAGACAAAACAGATACTGTAGGAAATTACTATAAGGAAAGAGAAACAATAATGAAGGTTCAATTCACCAGAAAGATACAACTTTTAAGTTTTGCTTAATCACACAATCTCAAAATATATGGGGAAAAAATCAAAGCAAGAATAAATCAATCCATAATTACAGTTAAGATTGTGATATTCTTCTGACTAAATGCTAGAAAAGCAAACAAAAAATAACTAAAATTGACAAATTGAGCCAATAAAAAAAAAACTCTACCCACAGTTGAAGACTATATCTATTTTTCAAGTATTTATAAAATACGTACAAAAATTGGCTGTGTACCAAAGGGCCGTAATACAAGCCTCAAAGTATCTCAAATACAAATGGTTTATTGAAACCATTCGCAGTATGTTCTTGGACCACAACACAATTATAAATAATAAAAATATAGAGGAAAGAAAGATGGCAACAGAGTAGGAGGGAGCAGATTCCCCTTCCCCCTACACATATGAGAAAAACCTAGCCGATCTATGGAGGAACAGAGCGAACAGCCAACAGTACCCCAGCATATGTGAAAATGAGAGACCAAAAGTTGTAGTGGACACTGAAAAACCAGGCAGTAAGGAGAATGCTTCAGGACAATAAAGTCCCGGGGACCAAATGGCTTATAGCCCCAGGCTCGGCTCCCAGCCTGCCAGAGTCCTTGGGAGATAGCGGGTCAACTCCTCCCTCCCTCCCCAGCCAAACAAAGTTTAAGCAGCAACGGGAGAGATCTGGTTGCTTGAAGGTGCAGAGAGGGGAATAAGGATAGAGCCAAACACACAGGGGCCATGATCACTGGTGGAGTCTGTGGTCGCCAGCTTGGGAGAGTTGAGTCACTCGGTGATGCGCACTGACCCCAGTCGTCACCAGTCTGTCTAGAGAAATGGGCTGTACAGAGCGGCAGGCTTGAATAGGAGGAATTTTTCAAAAAGAAAAACTGTTTGAGGAATTCTCCTACAACAGCTGCTCAACCTACTCCCCTCCCAGTCACGCAGCAATTCCGAGGTTGCGCGGAAGGCTGTGCGGAAGGCCCTGCGCACCCCCATAGCACTGGGAAGGGGCCAAGGCAGCACGGATGAGCGTGCATGCGTGCATGCCCACACCCCACCCCACAGCGGTAACCCCTGGGAAAAGAGCCTCTGCGGAAGACCTGGATCCCACACCCAAGGTGCCAGGGAGAGGTGTCAGACTACCTCTAGGGAGACTGCGTGGAACACTGGCTGCGTGCACCTGAGGAAGGGAGAAAGGCCATACCAATTACCTCGCAGGGTGCAGCCAGCAAGACCAGAAAAACGGCTTGGGCCAGTTTGAAACCAACAAGAGGTTTTGGGGGTATTTTTAAGTAATCTTTATCTTTTTAAATTTTTATTACAGTTTTATCTTTCAATACCTTTTCCTCTCTTTCCTTTCTTGTTTTATTCCTTCTTCCTTTCTTTCCAATTTTATCTCTTCTTCCTCCCTTCTCCTGCTTTTTAAAAAAATATCCACAAGTGAGACAAAAAAAAACTGGAACTCTGAAAAGACCAGAGTTGGACCCAAAGAGGGGGCATCCCAACAGTTGAGACAATGAGACAAATTTCACTTTGCTATTACAGAGAACCTGCAAGTTACTACATATTTGTATTACTATTTTTTCATTATTCTTACATCTTTTAATAGTATTTTTGTATTCCTCTTCTTTCTATATAGTCCTCTTTGTTTGGCTGGTTATATTGTGTATTATTTCACAGGTTTCCCCTGTTCCTGTACCCCTACTCTTTCACAGTGTATTGCTAATTTACTGACCTTCACGTCATTTGCATTCCTTTAGCATGCTACTCCAGGTCCTATACCCCCTATTCTTGTTATCAAGATCACATAGATTCTGTCATATGATTCTTGCTCTCATATTATTGTAAATAATAGCTGTTCCATACAATTGTAAATACTTCACAACACCCCTCCTGCATCTTAGCCCACTTCACAGTTTCCTGAACTCTATTACTGTAGTGGTTAACACTATTCTCTCACACACTACACCTATTTACTAGCCTTTACTCTCACCTCACCTCAGAATCTAACCTCTCACAACCTCACTGCTTTCTAGATCCAACTCACAATCCTTCCCTCCCCAACAAGACTCTTATCTTCTTTCCATCCTTTCTAAAAAGTGGCTACTTGGATAGAAGATCATGGTTAACACTATACATAACCAAATGATCTCCTATCTCTTCTCTATGGGCTGCTACTGTAAATATCATAGAATATTCTCTTGCTGTCTTAAGTCATTTTGCCTTCCCCTCCAACTGATCACACACACAAAAAAATAGGTGGAAGCAGTGAACACCAGGATACCCACTGGAAAGGAAACCCAACAACAAAGGAACCACCAACAGATAACAACAGAAGAAGGTGAAGGAGGGAGTGGAAACCACACAAACCTCAATCCAGGGCCTATCTGGAAATACAACTAAATAGCGGAGAAACTACCCAGTATCCTCAAAACCTTGTACACACGGAAGAACCAGCTTCAACACAAACTGCCCTCACCACCACAACAAATTACAAGACGTGGTAGACAGAGTGACCCTTAATTAACCAACTGGTGGGAAGGATCCACAAAAGAAATACCCCCAAAACAATAAAAACCCAAATACAAACACAGAGCCAACTTAGAGGAGAGCCCAAGATCAGTGAGCTTGGGAGATCAAGGA